GAATTGATCAAAAGTGATGATAAAGGCATTTATAATGTTACAAAAGATTTCTATGTCAGATAAATAGTGTTCATATCCATATCGGAATTATATCGCATCGACCGAAATTAAGAAATATATCGTGATATAAATTTTGGCCATATCGTCCAGCCCTAGGAATATGTTTTATTAAATATGCCAAATACGATGATATGCCATACAGTCATGCTGCTCTCAGCTATAAAATCCATTCTGAGAAGAGAAAGGGGTTAAACAGAAGCAAAACACTATATCAGTGTTTCCTGAACAACATCTGTCTGCTAATATCAAATTTTTTTCTCTCTCTAAATTATCACTTTCTTCACATCATTTCACCCTTCGTTTTGTGGTGGAAATGCCATTTTGAACATTTTTGGAACAAAACAGCAGACTCCTATATCTTGCTAAGGATAATTTCATAGCTAGCATTTTATGCATCCTACATACACAAATCATATTTTCACAACTCTTTGCATAATTTGACAAAATTACAGCTTATGACACAAAAACACGACAGCTTCATTTTCTAAACACATAACATGCCTCATATTTCACCTCAAGCATAACTATAGCAACACTGGAGTGCATAGTAACTATTAAGTGAAAAAGAAAGTGAAAGTGACAGTGAAAGTGACGTGACATGTGGCCAAGTATGGTGACCCATACTCGGAATTAGTGCTCTGCATTTAACCCATCCAAAGTGCACACACACAGCAGTGAACACACACACACCGTGAACACATACCCGGAGCAGTGGGCAGCCATTTTTGCTGCGGCGCCCGGGGAGCAGTTGGGGTTCGGTGCCTTGCTCAAGGGCACCTCAGTCGTGGTATTGAAGGTGGGAGAGAGCGCTGTACATTCACTCCCCCCACCTACAATCCCTGGTGCGTAGTAACTATTAAGAAATAATTTTTGATTTAAATAAAGCTGAAATAAAATATAATTTAAAACTTATATGAAAAACTTAAACGAAAATGAGAAATAATGCATTGGCAACTAATTGAAATAAAATGACTAAGTTAAAGAACTAAAATTACTAAAACTAAACTCAAAATAAAGCTAAACAGAAATATAAAAAAAAAAACTAAATCTAATAAAAATGACAAATCTACACAAAAATACTAAAAGAATACTGAAAATATAAAAATTAAAGCTAACTAATTTATTACTAAATACTACAATAGTATATAAATAATACTTTAAACTCCCCCCACCTACAATCCCTGCCGGTACGAGACTCGAACCCGCAACCTTTGGGTTATGAGTCCGACTCTCTAACCATTAGGCCACAACTTTCCCCAAGAAATAAGAAATAAATTAAGAAATAATTTTTGATTTAAATAAAGCTGAAATAAAATATAATTTAAAACTTATATGAAAAACTTAAACGAAAATGAGAAATAATGCATTGGCAACTAATTGAAATAAAATGACTAAGTTAAAGAACTAAAATTACTAAAACTAAACTCAAAATAAAGCTAAACAGAAATATAAAAAAAAAAACTAAATCTAATAAAAATGACAAATCTACACAAAAATACTAAAAGAATACTGAAAATATAAAAATTAAAGCTAACTAATTTATTACTAAATACTACAATAGTATATAAATAATACTTTAACACTGATCCACTGGCACTGATGTCTGCTTGGTAACAAAGTACACTAAACTTTAATGTTCACTATCTTTAATATATTTATTAGGTACAAAATTGTTAATTGTGGTGGAAACGATCACAAATTGATAAATAGTTTTTCACACAATAAATATTGAAATGTTTATATTAACTTGTTGAGGATATCACAGTTTTTTTTAAAGGGTATATTTTAATATGATTTGTATGCTATTTAAAATTTCAAATCTGACTCTGGGACAAGAGTGAAACAAAATTAATAGATACAATATACTCATATATAAAATAAATAAAATGTGTTGTAATAAAAATCAACTCAATAGATAAAAGTGCCAGCACTTGAAGAAACACCCATTAAGGTCACAGTGCGCTCTGCTCTCTGTAGCTGCACTGTACCAGAGTTGCCACCCTCATTGCTCGGCAGAGCCGTTTAGAGGAATTGAACTGAAGTGCAGACTTGGCCTGCCTCATTCAATTTTTAGAAGCACGACAAAACATCACATATGAAGAGACACAGCATCCCTAGTTCACAGGTCAATTACAGATCAAAGCGCCCGACTATGAGGAAAAGAAAACAACACGGCGGTAAGCAGCAGGACAGTTGGCACATTCACTGCACAATTCACCGGATCCAATCCAGTTGCTTTTGTTCTTTTCAAGGGAATGTGTCTGAACGGATAGTGAAAGAAATGCCCAGCAGGTGTATCCTGGGATGTTTTTAAACCATACCAAAGGCGTTCATATGCTCCTGGTGGGCAGAGCTCGTTCTAGCCGAGTAGGGAGTAAGTGTGTCAATACCTAGGGATGCCGGCGAGGTAGGCGATGAGTCTGCGGAGATCCTCGTGTCGTATTCGGTCATGGTTGGTTCGTGATGACGGTAATTGCATTAGTTAGTTTTTATGGAAAGTAATGCATTTCAATATTGCGTAAATCCCTTAAAAAGTAACTAATTGCGTTACTTAGCTACTTTTTATGGAAAGTAATGAGTTACGTTACTTTTGCGTCACTTTTTCTCATCTGGGCTGGGCTTGCTAATTTGTTTTTACCACTTACTCCCGATTTCTCTCAACATGGGGACAGGAGAGCTGTCAGTCAATGAATGGGAAAAAAAGTAACTGGAGTTACTTATTTGAAAAAGTAACTCAGATATTTTATTGTAAATTAAAAAGTAATGCGTTACTTTACTAGTTACTTGAAAAAAGTAATCTGATAACGTAACTCGCATTACTTGTAATGCGTTACCCCCAACACTGGTTATTGGTATAAGCAGTGGTTAAAATTGTATTCTGATGTATTTGTGGAGGTCTACATTATCTTTACTGGTGAATTGTTGGGTCGTAGCTCCTACAACAACTGTGGACCTACAGTAAAGATAATGTAGGCATTACATACATGACAATTCAGCTTTAACCAATGCTTTTACCAATAATAATTCCTTGAATCACCCAGGTCACAGTCATACACCAAACCTAAGTTCATTAGCATTGAGAAATAAGTAATCAATGTGTTGCTCCCACTGATCCTCCTCTCATGGCTCCAGGTTGTGTTATGAAGTCAAAATGCATCAACTCCAGCACAACAAACTCACTGAGCGGCTGGGATATCCATGAGGATTTTCTCCAGCGAATGTGCCGAATCTCACTAATGTAGTGTGTTTGTAATAGGATAATCCTTCTTATCCTCTGATGTTCAGGAATATAAATAAATAAATTGCACATAACTGCATGTATAAGCAGAAATCACTGGGTGTTCACACTTAGGGCTCCCTGCAGGTTCAGTTCTTCTGCTCTGTTCTTTAGTTTTAAAGCACACTCTCATGCCTGTTGATTGTGCTTGTTGTTGTATCTTGGGACATGTGTGTGATGGTTACTCATCCCTATGGAGACACAGCCTATGTTTCCGAGTCATTTTAGTGCTGGTCTGTTAGTCTTACGACAAAAAGAGCCAAACAGAAGCTCAGAGAGCGAGTTAGAAGGAGACTTTTCCAGGGACGCATTAATGCATGGGCTTCAAGGGGCTGAAGCCCAGGGGCCTACACTGGAAAGGGGGCCCACTGGCTGCAGGGAAATTATATTTTTTGAATAATTATTTATATGGGAGTTTGCAGCAGTGACAACAGCGTTCTGTAAACAAACTCACACACTAATTTTTAGTGATGCCCTGGTTGTAGTAGCCTATACAGTGAATGGCTCAGTTTAGGTTCCCCCCACACAGTTTGTATAGTTGGTATGTCCCACATGTTCCATCGATATACTGTAAGCGGAATGTACAATGCATTCGCTAGTAAATAACCGCAGCACGAGAGTATCTTTATGTAAACACGCAGATTAACAGAAACACAACATTGCTGTGTGAAAGGAACTGGACCGGACAACGTTCTGTAACGTCATACAGTGAGAGTTCAGTAACTTGCTTGGATGTGTCAATTTTAAATCCGGGTCTCAAAGTCTCCATTTTAAATCCGGGGATGGAAAAATAGGAATTGTCCTATTCCTTAAATGTGGTCAACATGCCGTGTGTTTTGCTCTACTGATGATGAATAATTAATATTTTGTGTGATTTATGGTGTTTAAATCATACCTGTAAACACATTTCAGCCAGGATAGTTTTGATGGCATTTTCCTTTCATATTACCTCCGTATAATGCCCGTAATAACGTAGTGTTTACTTTACGTAACAGCTATATAATTCTGCTGTTCCACAAGTGCCACCTTGTGGCAAAGAGTGAATTTGCATATTCGCTTATATTCACATTTGACGCAGAACAGTGTTGTGAATGTTAACTGGCATATTAACAAGACAAAAAACTAAATTTGACAAATAATTGTTAGGAAGCTTAAAAAAAAAAAAAAGGTTTTCTGGGGTCGGGGAGCCTACTGTAATGCTGTAGCCCAGGGGCCTTTGGTTATCTTAAGGCGCCCCTGGACTTTTCGGTCTAAGTCAATTTATGGTCTCTGTCAGGCCACGATGACACACCAACTAAAAATATTTGAGGAAGTTACAGTAATATTCAGTAAAAGTTATTTTGGGTCAAAAACACATGGTCCTGCGATTGTGATAAAGGGTTGTTATAATTGAAATAAACCTGAAATAAAATAAATATGAATATTAGAACTTAACCTTAACAACAACTAAAAAACACACGTTAAATGTTGCTTTGGCAACTAACTGAAATAAATTAAGGACTAAAATTGATAAAACTAAAATAATAATAAATTAAGCATTAAAAACAAATGACAAAACCACATAACAATATTACAAACTTTTACAAAATGATAAGCAAATATTAAAACAGAAAATCTAAAATTAAAGCTAATTCAAAATATTAATAAATACTACAATAATATATAAATAGGCCTAATACTAAAATAACACTGATGTGATGCAACATGTTGTCTGATTCAGGTAATTTCCTGAGCCTATGGAAGCTTTTTTTTACCTTTTTAAAAACAAATAAAATTAAAATTGTGACTTTACATAATTGCAGCTTTATACACCACAATTATCTTTTTTATTTTTTAGTCTGAGATGGAAACCGGCTTTCATACTATCCTTTTGGAATATTCCTGTATACAGGTAATGAACATTTTTCAATTAAACTAAAACACTTGCTATTCTCTACTGGAAGTATTGAAGGCACACAACTCTGTACAGTATGTTATGACCACTAGACAACCAAATGGACAACACACCTGACAAGAAGGCCACTTTTTCTTTTAAAATGGGCAAAACTTCCATGGCCTTCATCTCTTCATTCCTGCGAAATCCTGAAAAACAAAACAACAGAACAGAATTTAGAGTCCATGCAAGTATATCATCATCAGAGCTGTGGTCTAGCGGTTAGCAATAGCATACTGTGAGCTAAGGTGCTCAAATGGGAAATTTGACTTTGCAGCTGGTCCATTTAAGTCCCATGAATATCAATTTCACATTCTCCTTTTCTGATTCTTTTACATATATTTAACTGAATGTAAAGACAGTCCAGACTCCAGAAACATCATCATTTCTTCTTCTGTTCTTGGCATGAGCAGATACCGCCTCGAGCGCTGGACCTCGTTCAAGCGCTTTGCATGAGATCAGCAGCAACCTGGATGAAGCATCACTTCTGTTCGTTTGTTTTTATGATTCACAGGTTTGAGTTGACTAGGTTTGGCGAGGCTGTGCCAAAGCCGAGTTAGTCATGCATAGCCAGACTGACTTTGGTCTCTCCGAACGCCTAGACTCACAATCACGAAAACATAACCTTGCTTGGATTATAGGGATGTAACGATTCACTCAACTCACGATTTTGTCAAATTGAAATATAACACTATAATAATATACTAATATAGCTATTGCATATTATTACTCTTTTGTTGGTTTTGATTGCTTCTATTGTCCTCATTTGTAAGTCGCTTTGGATAAAAGTGTCTGCTAAATGACAAAATTTAAATATAATGTAAATGTAAATAAAAAAAATTAATTGAAATTTTAAAACAAGCCCCAAATCAAATAAATAAGTAACACAAATAAAAGAAATCTCTTCATATAAACAAACTAAGGCTTTGTCTGTGCTCTTTCCATTTAAAATTAGAGGCAACCACTGCATTTTAATCATGATCCAAACAAAGATGCTGCATACATGCAACATGAGCACTTTTTAATCTATATTAGATTGTACAATTTAGAAATTTGAAGCAGAAACAGAATGGTTTGACTTCAGTTTTGTGAAACTATACATAAAAATATCTGCATGAAACAGCTGACGAGCTGAATGAGATGCAGATTCACTCTCTGCCAGCAGGTGGCGTGTAAAGCGTTTCCTTGGTTCCTGCTGTAAACAAAGCAGGGCTGCACATATGAACTTTAATATGCATTATACAGAGGCAAGAGGAAAAGAAAATAATACATCTAAACTTTTCTTTTTCTTCCCCTCAGACATGGATTCTTATAAACTCCTACCTCAACCGATTTGAATTGTCACATATTTTAATCGATTTTCAACCGGCTCGCGGTTAATCGTTACATCCCTATTGGATTACATAATTTACTTTTTCCCCTCTCATTTCTTGCCTGGGGTAACTGAAGGAAATAATGTAAATACAAAATATGGTATTACTTTGTGATCTACGAGTATCCATTTCAGAGCAGGACAAATGCTGGAAAACTCTGGTATGGCACACTACTTGCTTGTAAAGCATTACGGACATGGATGTTTCAGTTGAGACATGCTGTCTTTAATTCCACTCCAACTATCCCTCCATCCCAGGGCTGCTAATTAAGCATGAAATATGGTTGATGGAGCCGATCCTACACAGACACACACAGCTGAGAGACAGAAATTATGTCATTTATCCATTTTCCTGCAATGCTTCCCTGTGGTGTCTCAGCGCCACTCGCTGTACAAATGAACACCTTTCTCTATGTCACTCTGCCTCTTCGCCTCCCCTTCTCTTTTTTTCCCATACATCCCACTGGAAGGTTTGTTTTTCCACCACTGCTACTGTGCACATCAGGCCACGTGATCTAATGAAAACATGGAAGCTTCTGCAGATTATTTACAGATTATTACAGGAATATCTCATCCAAAAATGTACAAGATGTCAAATTATTCACCCTTTTGTCTTTTGAAACCTTATGACATTCCTCTGTGTATGACAGGAGTTATTTACAGCAGAATGTCCAAGCTGCTCACATTTAAGCAAAATTTTCAATTAACAATTTTTTTTTTAAACCAGGTACTAACAGAAATCTATCATATGGCTTCAAAAGTATTTAGAATACAAAGCATGAATTGTGTGGACCACTTTAATGATGCATTTAAAATCCCTAGTCCCAATCCATTTTTATTGTATGGAAAAGAGCAGCTGAGACGTTCTGCTAAACCTCTTCTTTTGCGCTCTGGGGGAGTCATACAGGATTATATAGAGTTATAGATGAACATTAAGTTGTAATATTATATATTACAATTAATATTTATATTCTTCATGATATTAAATTATTTATATAATAAACATTAAGTAATTTTTTTATCATTTATAATTTACATATACATAAGTTAACAAATGGCATCGAGTCATAACATACAAAATAACAATGACACCCATTTGAGCGTCCTTATTTGAAAAATCTCAGCTTCTAGATTAAACAATAGCTAACACACACAAGGTTACAACCTGCACAAAACTAATCATTCTAGGTTTAAATTGGGGCTTCCGCAAGGCTTACAATTTCATTTATCGCATAAAGATTTTACATTAATCTACTCATTTCCTCACCAATGACAGAAGACAAAGAAATGACCTCCATCTCACATCTGAAGTGCTCCGTACAGGAGATGACCGTCACTGTTCCCAACGTATTATCTCACCAAAATGATTCCCATTTCACAGCAGTGCCGCTGTCCTTCAAGCTTTGCATGCAGGGTAACAGGATATTTCACTAACGTCTAAAATCCATCATTTTAGCACCCAAACCACAGAAATACAACAAACCACTTCAACAAATAGAGACATTACACTTGGAGAAAATCAGACAGCTATTCTTTTCCCAGAGCTGGAAGAGCGCTAAACGTGGTTGGGATTTCACAGTCTGTGGAAAAAGAACTAAGGAATCTGGGGAAAAAATAACATGAGCAGAAGGGAAACTTCAAAAGGACACTGTGGTATCCATGAACTGTTCTTTAGTGACAGGAAGGAGAATCGTGGGGGAGTTTTAAGGTCACTCAAAATAATCGATTAAAAAGAAGGAAGAACATACACAGCCATGGAATCAATCTGTAACAGCGCATCTGTAGGTTCCTCCAAACCTAACCTTTCTCACTCTCACAGATGATTATTTTTCAGGGCTTATCAGGTATCAGAAGAGAACAGACAGCAAAACATAGCCTCACTGTTTCCAGGTAATATGTTCCTGATCTTCCCGATACTGAAGAAGTAATGACCCAAGATAACAACAGTAACTTCAGACAATCTGAAAGCGGCATCGCTTCACATTTACCGGCAACAGTTTTCTCTACATCTAAACAGCAGAGCAGCAGATTTCTGATAGATGGCAGCAGAGCGGCCACACGGATCAACACTACAGTGGTGAGATGATGCAGAGAGAAGAAGTGAACAAGAGAGACAATGTAATGGATGTAGAGAGCAGAAAGGAAACAGCGAGTTATTAAATGAGAAGAGATTGTTTTTTGAACAAAAAAGAGAGAGAGGAAAAAAAAAATGAGAGAAACACCAAGAAAGACACTCATATATGACTTGTAATGTAAACTATTTAAACATCAAGGTAGTATTTATTGCACTGCTTTTTATACAGAAAACGGTTATTTTAAATTGTAGTAATATTTCACAATATTAGTTTTTATTGTATTTTTGACCAAAAACACTAAAAAAAAATCGACCCCAAACAGTAAAGCATAAATTAATATACAACAATTATTATAATGATAATTATCTTCTATTGCCTATTATGACAATGAGAATTTGTGTGAAATGTGCCTGATTGCATGAAAATGTCAAAATGCAAAAATTGCCCTAATAATAGCTTTATATCAAAATACAATTTCTTACAACTCTTATAATGATTTATTTCAACTCTGGAGTGAAATGTGGACATGTTTGTGAAATTCACCCAAACATCAGCTAAATATATATTCTGTCAAGATTTAGCCTATATGTATTACTCATTAACAATACACAGAAATGTGCTATTGTACATTCATAACTACAACTTCAATTACGAACAAATACATGAAAAAATGCAATCATACGAGGCTGCAGATTGCTCTCGAATTTCCCCTCCCCATCACACTTCCTCATTGTGGGTCAGACTGAAGCAAACAAGGGTCAAAGGTTTAACGAGTATGTGCCTGTGTGTGTAGCAGCCGCTAATCGCATCACTGGTCCTGCTGAATGAACAGAAGACAAATAAATCTCGAACAATTCAGCGGCTGTAGTGGACTGAGCTGATGTTAAACGGCCTGCTACAGATTCAATTCCTATTTTGCTTCTATTCATTCAGGAATAATACATTTGGGCCTGTTGCAGTGTATAACATCCATCACTGAACAAATTTTATGAATCAATACTGGATTAAAATGAAGATTGCTATTAAATCATTTAATAGTTTTGCTTGATGCAGGTTTAACCTTAAACCATGAACTATAGGAATGCATGTATGTTAGGGATGTAACGATTAACCGCGAGCCGGTTGAAAATCGATTTAAATATGTGACGATTCAAATCGGTTGAGATGCGAAACAAATCGCGATTCAGTTAGAATTTCACAAAGAAACGTACAGTATTTTGTCCATGCAATAATAAAAGGACACATTTAATTTATAATTTGTCTTAAATCTCATTTTGTAAAAAAAAAAAATTGTGAATCAAATCGAATCGTGAAATCAAAATCGTGAATCGAATCGAATCATGAGTTGAGTGAATCGTTACATCCCTAATGTATGTAGTCATGTTTAAAGCAGACAGATAAAGTTTAAAATTTCCACCCTGTAGCCTGTAACCTCACAACAGTTGGGTCAGATCAAATCACTTCAGCGCCGCCGGCCTGCCTTCTTATTGGGATGTAGCTTGCATCTGAATCTCAGCAATTAGCCTATTAACCTAAGGTGCTCCAGAGGATTGAGATATCAAGATGACGACCCACGTGACCTGACCCATCACCCTGTGAACAGCTGCAGAACCGGGTTAACACTTGAGCTGGTGAATGTGTAACCTACAGGCCACCAGTGGATATGGCTGTCACGATTATGAAATTTGGCTGACGATTAATT